TGTGTGTGTGTGTGTGTGTGTGTGTGTGTGTGTGTGTGTGTGTGTGTGTGTGTGTGTGTGTGTGTGTGTGTTTGTGTCTTTGTGTGTAAGTGTATGTGTGTCTGTGTTTTTGCGTTTGAGTGTGCGTGAGGTTCACACACTTTGTGCTGACTGCAGTGAAAGCGGAGGGTCAGGGATAGTTAGACCTTGTCCTCTCTGCAGACTGAACAACTGGAACAACTCTGAAGATCTGGGAAACTACAGCAGCTACATTCACTACTGCGAGTACTGCAGTACAAACCTGAGGTACTTCATCTGCACACCCACAGACAAACCTGCTGTTCACTTAGAATTTAATCTTTCCTGAAGTACTGTCTGATACTTTGATAAAATACACTGCAGTCCTTGCAGTACCTAGAATGTACTTGTACTCCTGGGTGTAGCAGTTCCTCAGACGCCTCCCTTCCTGCACTCTGGAGACTTTTGAGACTGAATCTGTTCTTTAAACTAACCTTTAATCAGTCTGAGGACAAGTCTGCAGCCCATGTGACCTCAGGACATGCGCTGAAAGAACCACACACAAAAACACTCACACACACTCAGAGGTGAATTACATGCGATGAGAGCCCACACAGGGAGGATGACACTGAGGCAGCATTATGGTGCGTTATCACGCCGCCCTGCAGGAGCTCTGTGATTACAGAGCAGCCAAAATTACACTCTGACTCTGCTGAACTCCAGAAAACCTGCAGGCAGGTCCAGAGTTTCAGCACACACACACTAGCACACTACCACACATACACACACACACTAACACACTGACACACAAACAATTGCAAATTCTTTTTTCAAATCAGACCTCCACATAAATGTCTCTAACAGTGCTTTTATTTTGAAAACCATGGCTTTAACTTGAAGCAAATGCATTACACAAGTCTAAACTAGACCTGCCTTTAATGTACGTGTGTTTTCACCCAACACCTGTGTGCATTGTGTGGCTCACACTGGATGATGCTCAGTCTGGTGATATTACAGATCTGCTGCAGTGTCCTGACAGAAGGTTTTACTGAAACTCCATGTTTTTGTTTCCACCTCAGATGATTTTCAACATCTCTGTTATTGCTGGGTTTATGCATATCTGAATAGTCTGCTGGATGGAGATGATGGTACAGAACCTGGATCATAACTGTGCCGGTGAAGGTGAGCCTGAGCCTGAACCTGAGGACGAGATGTACTCTCTGTGCTCATCTGTTGATTAACACGTTTTCATTAATTTTGTTTTTTAAACGTAACCTTTTATATCCGGTTTTTAAGTGATGACGTGATGAATTCTGCTTCTGGGCCCAAACTACCCTGCGTTTAATAAGGCTGTTGTGTATTTATGTTTTAATGCTTTGTATCTTGTTCTATTTAATCTCAACAAGCCCCTAAACCAGTCAGTGATCACTGTCAGCCTCTCACAGTTTTTATTATTATCGCTA